AAGTGCACTCTTGACTTGACTTGACTGAAAGGGCTTTGTTCAAATTGTTGTTTGGCATATTTGAAGTTTGTATGTCGATTGTGATTAGTTCAGTTGTCTCGATGGGACTGTTACCCACGTATGGACGCCGCTTACGCTTTGTACGCGCATGATCTACCTCCTGAGCTAGGAGGCCGCACCGGTAGCACTGATCTTTTCACGGGAACAATCAACCCGATCGGAAACAACGTGCTCATGCAAAGGGGGTGGCCGCAATTCGTGGAGGAACTTTCGATCAGTTCCGTTCTGTAGAGTACAACAATAAGCTAACACCCGATGCCTATTCGTATTAGAAATGATGATATTAGTATCCCGGTCACTGTAAGTAAGCGAGCGTTTATAGGGTTTTCCTGCATGAATAAGGACTTCGAATCTACTCCGATTGGGCTGGTTCACCTATCCCCGCCCTACGCACAGTACTATCTCCGATCGTGCTCACATCTCATCCAATAGGGTTTCAATCTGTGCCGCACAATACGATGAGGAGACAGAGGTAGAAAGGAAAATAATGAAACCACTGGGAAATCGAGGGTTCTCTTCAAATTAAAGGATAACGCGAAAAACATTTTTGTCTAGACATAGACGTAAGAAAAATCGATCGACTTAAAAAAAGAACTAAGAATCAAATCTATTGGAACATAAAATTGATGGCTATCCGCACTGCATTCCCTCAGAGAGGAGAAACAAATCAAGAAACGTACTGGGGAATATATTTAAAAAAATGAAAAATCAAACTGGGAGGGCTTTTATTGATGGTGTAAAATGGAGAATAGGAGGAATTCTTTCACACTCTATTCCCGGAAAAGATAAATCACTGAGAGACAAACAAAATCAACCCATGTAGTGGTTGGCAATAATTGAAACACATCAATATTCAATCTGTTTAGGATAGAGCGAAAACGTTAGCTGACCCTTCTCCTTGGATGTTCGGTTAAAATGTATAGTTGTGTTCAAATACTTTTGCAGAACAGCGGCAAAAGGATTCCGAAGCTTATTTTTATCTTTTCTGAGCATGACTCTCATTCGATGAAAACGAATGAAGTCCCGTGACTCTAGACGATAATTATTATCAGGTGAATTAAAAATGATGCCCAAATGCTCAAACTTCCCGATACCCAAGAGAGAAGAAATGGTGTCGCTTGATTTGTACTTTCAGTGTCAGTGCACGGTGACAGGTTGTTATTGTAGTTATTGTTTCTGTGCCGTGTGATGAGAAAATAGGTGAAACTATTTCGTGCATGTCTTTCCCTTTATTCCACGAAGGCACGTTACGATAGTAGGTGCTAATTGTCAAGTTTTCTGTGAGACGAATTCATATACTCGTCGGTAGGAAGGAACTAGGCTGTCAATTCTGGTTCAGACTGAATTGTTTCGGATTTTCGGACACAGAACATGATTGTTCATCTTGCAAGATTTGTATTGGAGGACAGAATGGGTAGGCCAAATAGTTAAATAACGTACCAGATTGAAGAGCAACGGAAACAGTGAACCCTAATGTCTCATGGTCATGCGGCTCACTATAGTTCCAACCGGGGTCTTATACCCTGGGACTTGTATAGGCGAACCACAAAAGGTATCAATAGGATAGTCAACGTTTTGAATCGGATATCAACGAAGCGGCCTACTAACAAAGTTTGGTGGAGGTGGTTGGGTTCAAACCTGGAAATTAGAGTCCAACCGCTTAAACAGAACCAGCATCACGGAAACATGTGCATTGTGATGCATCAAACGCAACAGAGTGCTGCTCCATCGTTCCAATTTGTGCTTCGCTTTGGTATGAGTATATTAGTGGTAGTGGACTGTTTCCTCATCTTCTCGTGGGCTGTCTTTGCAGGCTTTCGACATTTTTTCCGCATAAAACCTCAATACCAATCGAAAGTGCTATTAACTTTTCGAATTTCCAGTCCAGTATGAAAAAGCTGTACCTAATTCAGACCGTTTTGTCCAATACTGGTGAGTTTTCTTTCGGAACTGGTCTAGCCCAGTGACTCCAATATGCCACCAAGATTTGTCCCGAGTCATCAAAATGTTCCAAAACATAAAGAACACAGATTTTTTCCAGACTTTGGTTCTTTTTTAGATTAAAAGTCCATGTAGACTCCCATCAAAGAGGAAAGAATCTCCATGATCACAATTGAAAAGGATTATTCCAATCTACGTTGCGAGTCGATTATGCATGCAAGTCATCTCTTTTCAGTTTGCAAACGGCGAGATTGTACTTCCAGAAGCAAAATATATATAAATTTCCTTCTACTGGGACAGAATTGGCATTCCAATATTTAATCGGCTGTCACAAAATGCTCTTCAAATCCACATGGGTTGTGGTTCTAAAACAGTTTAAACTTACGAGCAAATACAGATTTTATTTACAGTCCTTTTATGAAATCATAATGAACGCAAGTGATGTTAAGGATCAAAGCTACCAGATGGCTATTTTTTAAGGACATTTGATTACCATCCACAATCGTATATCATATCATTCACCTCAATTTCGTTTGAGGTTACTTTGACAGCTAAAGCTTGCCCATTAATGATTTACTTGTTCCGAAAACGAACGTTTTACTTCATGCTCCTTCATTTGAAGCTAATAAACACCTTGAAATTGCTTAATTTAGCAAAGTTTGATTCGGAGTAACCATCCGTTTCACTTCACTTTCACACAATCCACAGTTCCATAGATCAATCAGAGGAACTCAGGAAGCGCTGCACTCCAGTTTCGGTTGCTCTAAAATACCTATCCGTCTACCAGTTTGAGAGACGACTTCCGAATACATCGCACGGGTTGTTTGAGCGTAATTCGCGTCGGGTTTATCCAAAATTATTGATATAAGTTTGTTCAGATATTGTTTTCAATAACTGTTTCCATTCATTTCACTGTGGGACACAGTCAACTTTCTGTTAACTCCAGTCGAAGGTATCCGAATAAACATGCTAGTTTGGATGAAGCTTTTATGGTCGATCAAAGTGAATATCAGCTATCCCACTACATTAGTCACAAGTCAAGTAGAATGTGAATTGTTTGATAATATTTGACTGCTTGAAACCCCTATTCGTGCGGATTAACAATGTATTTATTACACTTGAGGGAAAACGAAAGTTTCAAATTTTGTATGTGTTTTGTATTTGTAACTTGCGCAAGCACACTGGCTAAAATTTCAAATGATTTGACTTCATAAAACATCTGTCGCATAGAACATTTGATACAAAAATAAAACTTTTTCGGAGGAACAGAGATCACAAACGAACTTTTAGGAGTCCCCATGTGCAACCCCCACTCCGTTGACGAATACGCGTCCCACACACGGTGCAGAATACTATCGGTCTGAGTTTATACAAGATGAAGTTCGGAGCTTCCGGAGAGATTGGAGCAAAAAGTGCTGAACAGCGGATAACGTTTGAATTAAGCCGTTCATTATGTTACCGCAATAAGCAATATGATGATCAGAAAGTCTCACAACTCAGCTGATGACGGAATTCGGAGAAAGCGACCAATAAGTGTTGACTCAAAGATCGCCAGTGATGGCCTGGGGGGTTTCCAACCGGTAACCTGAACTTTTAACTCATGATTTCTGACATCATCACATGAGAGATGTTTTGCAGTTCATTCGTGATGTGTATTTATGATAATGCATATATATTTGTATGGTATTCGTAAACATTGCACTATTTACGTCAAACTGGGCCCAAAGGAATTCAGTGTCATGCCTCCCGACACAGAAAAAAACAAGTTATTGATCGAATTCGTCTCAGTTTGTCTTTGGGAGTCAGTAAATTCGCCCGGGTACTACTAAAATACTGAATACAGGTAGTTTGGAGTGTGTTTCTGAAACGCTGGAAGACTCTATTGATATGATGGTTTAACATGAAAGAATGGATCTAAATACATTTGTATGCAAATTTCGAAATGTGCTCATACTCGCATTTATGCCGTTGTACTGAATATGAGAGGATAAAACGCAGGGATTGGGATGATAACATTAAAGTATGAGGGTAATGACGGCAATAAGATTCACCGTGCACAGGATCAAACAATATTAAATGCTCTACCTATATAAATGTAAATGGCCATTTGAATAATTTATCGAAAAAGCTTGGTTCGCCTATCGGATTTTATTTTAAAACGTGAGGAATTGATCACTTTTTATACTTTGCACACCACGTTTTCATATCTGTGCTTTCGAGGTTTTCAGTTATGTCACGTTGATCACGTCCCAGTTTTGAGGGCTGGTGTTGTTGTTGTTGTGTGTGTGTGTGTATGTGTGTGTGTGTGTGAATTGAGCAGCGGGGGAAGAGTTGGGTTCGTGAAAATATTTATGGGAATCTGAAGATCTCTTGAGGAGTGAAACCCACACCCAGAACATTACAAGTTTCTGACGCCTGTGAATCATCGAATGGACTAATCCAACCTCAACCCCTAACCAAACACAAATCACGCAACTCACTTGTCCACCACCTTGTTCAAATGACTCATGTCAACTCTAATGTTTCCTCGCTTTACATGACCATATAAATGTCCATTTATAGCTGAATGAGAGCACGCGAAATTGATGGTCAACATCAATTCTGCCCACATAATTCTTGATAAAATGGATAAGGGGAAAAGGCTGTTCTACAGAAGCTAAATTGACAATGCAAAAAGAAAGGAGAGGCAATGCAATTCCTTTCAAGCTAAAATATATCATAAGTAACCTCAGTACCTGGACAGAAATTAGGAACAGAAAATAGTGGAGTGAAAGGCCGTACGCGTTTACGTATCTATGGTAAACATCGTACCCCTAAACTACACGCAACATTTGCTCTTATGTTAATTTTATACAGCATCTCTTTGTGGTTTCATCGAGGGGACCATTTTAAATGTTTACAGAATCAGTTCGCCTCGCTGAAAGCAAGTGTCAGCGATTTTTTATGCAAATAATAAAATGTGGCGCATTCCAAGTTATATATTCTAAAGCTTACTGATTACTTTTTTTCATTTATTAAGGCGGTCACCTAACCAACACAGTGATCTAAAATCGAACATGCGGATAGATAGATCCTGTTCAATCCTTGATACAATTCATTTTATTTGTAAAGATGAAGCCCTAAATTTCAGGTTAGTCTCACACTAAAACATTTCGCAAGATATACAGAAACTAACCATTTTCCAGAACTGGTTCAAGAGCCATCCTTCCTGAACCAAGGGAATCACGTTGATCGTGTGAGGAACGCGGTCGTCGGGTCGGTGCATCCCCGGAACCACGAATTGCCGCGGCCAATGACCCAAGCAGTTGGGGCGCGGAGAAACGTTTCTGATTCTTGTTCCTCAAAGAATTCAAGTCGTGCTTCTCTAGCTGAGGTCGAAAACACCAGCGTTGAACTTGTAGCCGAAGCTAATTGGATGAAATAGACAAAGAAGAGTCAGCCATTATATGTAAATGCGCACGTCATGTGATTCAGCAAGACTTCAGTTACCGACAGGAACATTTCGATTGATAAACTGATTACATACAATTGTGAAAGAGAAAAGTTCCCATACAAGATAAACAAAGTGAACTAATATCAATGGCTAACAGCGGAGCTCACAGTCTTGCAGAACACGCGAGCAGTATGAGGCAAAGACGTTTCAACCTCATCTCAACGGTTGTGTTATGTGGAGATAAAATGAATTTAGATGAATTTACAGCGAGACCGCATACAAAAAAGATGACAATGAAGCACTGAATCAACTGAACAAACGGATGATTCTTTCGACTTCACGAATACCATAATAAGGATTGTGTAATAGACGCGACCAGTCGGATGAAATACAAGTTGATAAGTATGTTGCATGTACAACGGGTCGGACCCACTAATCCAAGAACAGGAATAGCTCATTTTGTAGGTATGGTCAGTGCTGTGAAGAATGTTCTGCGATATATCCTAGTGAGCGAACATCGATGAAGTGTTGACGCGGCTCATACAATTTGATTACACCGTTTCACCATGCATTACGGCAAAATGAAAATAGTGTAAACCGGACGGTTAATAGAGATGAAATGAGTGATGGTTGCCACTAAGAACTAAGAAAATAGTACTAGCATGAATGCGGAGAAAATCTTCTAACAATCCAAGCTGATATATTTCAGAGGGGAAATTTGGAATGCACAAAGAAAGCAATTAAAGTCGCTTCCTATGAATTAAGGCAATTAAGTGACTACTCGATTGACGAACGCACTAGAACACATTGCATTCTCCCGACATATTATCCGGAATCAAATCGGCTTTGTTACGGCTAAACCCAGAATCGGAAATCAGTCCATTACGGTATTGGAGTAAAATGTGAGCAGCGAACTGTATTTTTTTTATTTTACGGGGGAAATGGAGATAAATAAATCTTCTGAGTTACGTGATTGTCCCGAGTACATTTAGTACTGTGATTTAGTGACAAATAGAATATCACCACCGTTCGTTTCTTACCGCATCACATGACTTCCCCAACCCGGTAAATACAAAATCATTGTCAGTTTTCCTAGTCTGTGCCCAATAAGTCAGTTCATCTGCACGTGTTTCCTTCAAGCCCAGAACAGGTACGCAAACGGGAAACAGTGCTTAAGGACACTTTCGATCAGCATACTGATTTGGTGTAGAGAATTCGATTAAAAAGTTTCCAATCAAAACAGGCACATGTGCATGATGGTGACTGGAATCGAAGTGATGGTTCGAAGACACAACCATCCGAGGTGATAAGTTGAGGACCTTGATGGTTTGGTCACAGCCAACTCATACGTGCATCACGTGAGGTATTTACATCGATCAGATAAGAAAACAAATACATAAATTTATCAAGAAATGCGATTGACGCTGATGATGGTACCGGGTAATTGGCCAGTATTCAGATGAACGAGGTTAGATGTTCGAAACGGGGTTGCCGATTCGGGCTGTTCTAGACTTGTACAGACCACATGAAACAGTTAGATCAGCTGACCGGTGGTCAGGTGGGCAACGTTGTTTAACCCCACTGGGTTAGATTCATTATTAAGCTAACGGATTGCAACTATTAATGATACATTGAAACTGTTTTATCATTGTGCTTCGCAACCATTTAGTTCACAATTCCCTTATTTTGCATTCAAGAAGAGATACAATTCACAAACTCTTCTCATTTGGGTTAGATGAACTTGTACGGATGAGCTTGTTTCTTCAGGTTGAGCTTGCATACTTTAGGAAGAAGAGCATACATTAGACCTCCATGAAATTTCGTGTCTTTAAATAAGTTATGTCAACAACTCAAGGTAGTTCACAAAAGCATCGCCGTAATACCAAATTGTGCACATGTTTGATGAGGAAGGGGAATGATGCAACTCAATTTTTCGGATTTAGCGGTAACACGCCTCAGCTCATGTAAGCGAACACAGGCGTTTGGTCTACTTGTTCCGTGTACCGCTGATGCACTCACTACTCATACAAACCAGTTGAACTAGTCTAACTGAAGAAAACTTGGTGACCGTGTTCATTGAACTAACTGCAAGTACTGTAGGTGGATTTATTTCAGTTCACAACCAGAAAATTCTCATTGTATTCAAATTGTTTCTGTCGAAATTCGGTCGCTGTCGATGAACCACAAAAGTCTCACATTTACTGATGATAATAAAGTGTATTTATTACCTAAAATGAGCAGCAATCTAGGCGAAGTTTCCCATCTTTTCGGAGAATGTTCTTTGAGGTAACGTGCGTGTAGGCACCACTCTAATTATAGGAAAACAAAAGATGGTTTTACAGTGTCAAGGTATGCACTGCTGACAAGTCCCAAACAAGAAGAAAGAGCTGTCCAGTGCTCTTTATTGGTTACCACAGATATTGCTACCGTAAATGAAAGATGACTTTATTTCTAACCCCGGAGCTAAATGAAGAGTTCAAAGAAGGGATATTTTTGATACAATGTAGCCATATACTCTAAGTCAGCTTTAGTTGTTTGTTCTTCGGACTAAGGCAGGAACCCTTTGTACAGTCTGGTTCCATTAACTACCAAAAATCCAGGAACGACGTTCAGTCGAATATTATTAGGATACTTCAAATAGAATTTACAGACGTATGTGACGAAGTATCTGTCGCACTGGAAGATGAATAACCTATGACAATGTTTATTAAACCCTTGTCTCCGGTCGAAAAGAACTACTAACGGCGCTTTCCCTGGCGGTGGGATTGGTCAAATGAATTCAGACTCTATCTTCCAATATATATCAAGCAGCTACTCCTTGACCCGTGACAAGTACCACCTGGTTGCGCCAAGGTGTTTGCGAGCAACAAAGTGTGGTAACATTGAATACGAAACAAGTTACCAACGTTACAAGCGAGAGGGAAGCGAGAACACTAGAACCGACATATTAGAACGCTCTGCCTGCTTAGTATAGACCAAGATTAGGCACACCGCTCGTGAGAAGGGTTTGGGTTTGGTACCAGCGATTGCGGCAAGAGTAAATAGTACCATTTTCGTTTGGGGTTGAGGTCATGGGGCGTAATAACGAGCGAAGTAGTAGGTAAAGCCATTGGGGAGACTAATCGACCACTAGTGTACACAAACTTTACATCTTACTTATTAGCAACGTTAATTTGTTGTTAATAAAAACTGTTTCATTCTTTTTAGTTAGCTCTTAACTCATCATGGTCTAGGTCAACCACTACTGACGAAATGGGAGTATCCGATACATTCTGAACCATTCCACCTGCTGATTATAAACGATTCGGGAAAATCACGGATATAAAGACTCTCCAAGACTTGTTTATCATTAGTTTTGAAAAAAGTTTTCTTCAGTATAGATGCTGTTGCCCATACGAACCGAAAAGTGTTTCACAGGGACCTGTTGCTTCAGTTTCGATTAGACCTGTAGATTTAAAGCTTTGAAGTACACTCATGTGATGAGAACCGAGGGAGTGCAACCGTAACAGTCTTAGTGGATCTGTCATTCAGACATATGAAGAAATCGACACTCTGGACTACAAGAAGTGAGTTAATCAATCACATATGACGCGGGGATTGAAAAGCTCGATGATGAACTCGTCACCGCTACAGATTTATTTACTCCTTCGTGATTAATTAAATCAAAGTATTCTTTGCGAACTTACATTTTTCCCCCTGACCCTCCACTGCAGCTTGTCATCTTCTTATGAAATCTTGCTTAATGTATCTCATATACGCGCCTCTGGATGTCACCTCACTTATTACCTTCTATGCAATTAAGTGGTTTGAAGTTCAGAAACTGGGAAATAACACTTGGTTTTTGATGAAAATGAGCGATCTCCAAAGGTTTTGAATATTAAATTGACCACCACCGCCACAATTTCAGAATCTGTCACAGCTTTTAGAATAGAATCNAATCTGTCACAGCTTTTAGAATAGAATCCATAAAATATTCTGCAATCATATAAATTATTTCAACTTTCCACTCTCTGCATTTTCGTTCACTTAAGCTATTTGCCCTGATCAATCTCCCAAATTTTTCCTACCGAAGTATTGTCCCTCAATGCTCAAGTCCATATTCGGCAAATCCTCTGGAGCAATTGGGGGACAGATGGCTATCGGCGGGAAGTTGAACCAGCAAAATGTGACAAGAACTGTGAGCACATCTGCTCCAAGACAGACAGACAGATAGACAGACAGACAGAATTGTAAATTTGTGACTTTATACTTTTTTTCTTGTCCATTTTTATTTTGCTATCCCGGGTGGGTTTAAGTGACTGGGTGTTATTCAGTGTGCTTTAGTCAATCAATCGCGGGGAAAACAAAACAGGCGCGCTAGGCCCGATTTGTTCCTGAGTGATAAGATCAGGGGTCAAAATGTCCTCGTATACTTTTTCTTCTTGAACTGAGGCAATAGGACACTTGTATTCACTGATTCGACGGAAATTGTTCCGAATCGAATGCATTCTCCAATTCCTGTTACAATAGCAAATTGCCCCGGGGGCAAAGCGCTCCGCTTTTTACTACCCTGTGTAGTTTATTAGTCAAGTACTAATGGTCATCAAACCAGCGACCTGGATTTTTTGGGTTCGAATCCAGCCAGTGTCACCTATCCTCTCCATTTCTGTATTTCCCCACGACCCCGAATTTCTTTTCGAAAGTTGACTGTGTATATGTACACCTGGGAGAAAGAGGAAGTAAAAATGTTTGTTTATTTCTATTATTATTTTTGGCCTCGGTATTGGGAGTGAAATGAGATTGACCTTACTGTCTACCCGGAAGCATTAAAAGCATACTTCTACCGTATCTTAACATCTAGGTTTTGTTTTATTTGGACAAAAGGAATGATCTAACCTGACAACTCAGTATAGAGCTAATAGGTATTTCATCACGAACTCCAAGCTTACAACCTTGCCATTTGAGGATCCTCCGTTGAACGACATAATCTTCACCTCATTGGCTTATTGGGCTAGGATTATTAAGTTCAGAGCCAATCTTGTGGGTCCAAAGACTGTTACTGTGTGGTGGAGTTGGTGCGGTGTCGATGGAGGCTGCTTTGGTGGCTGTGGGGATCGGGGGTTGAGCGTGGCCACGTTCTATCCTGGGAAGATTACCGAAGCATCGTTATCATGTCTATCCGTTCTCTCTCCTCACGTTTCGCTTATCCTGACTGACTAATCGGTCTGTGTTTGTTGCAGTTGTTGTTGTTATTTTTCTGCTTGCATGTACAATCTCGGTCGTGCGCACTTTCACACACACGCACATACACACATAAATGGAGATAACAAAACATAAAATGACACCATTTCTGACAGTACAAGTGTCTTGTGATTCGTGCGTGCGTGGGCGTATTTACAAACGCACATACTCACCTCATGCTTCGCCGAACGTATCCACTCGAGAACAGACTCGTAGGACGCGTGTGTAGCATCACGCTTGTTGACTCGGATTAACCGGTCCCCAGGGCATAATTGACCATCCTATACGGTAATAAGCGGGAACGTGAATCGAAAGAATCGGTTAGTCCAACAAAAAATTCCACTGATCATGACCGAACGGTGAACAGAAAAAACGGAAGTAAACAGAGCATAGGTTTGAAATTAATAAAAACGAAAGACGAACTTAATATCCTAAGTAAAGTAATATTACTGCATGGTTTAACTTTGCCTGTTTTAAAATAGACTCATTGTCATTCTGTTAATCAAGTTTAGTGTGCATAATCATCGGTTGCCACGGTGAAAATGAACTATTCTAATACGTTCACAATGTGTATGGTATTTCATTCTGTTGCTTTATAATGTACTGGCCAGGTTGAGTGGTGTGTGCGCATCTTCTTGTTCACGGGATGAATTTCAAGGGTAGCTTAAGTCAAGAGTTATTGGCGTCAATGTCAGAGTTACCGTTTCCAATGTCAAACAATATTTTGGATCATTTCAATGCATCTGTCACGTGCATCCGCAACAGTGTGAGCAACATAAATGGTTTATCAATTGGCGCTAACTTGGTAACAAATGTGTTTGGTGACTGATTTTGACCGCAGTCTTTCTCGGTCTATGTTTTTTTGTAACTTCTGACAACATATCAATGGTCACACAAACTGCACGAGGCACATGTACAGATGCAGCTCAAACGGTCCAGAACACATTGTATAAACCTGTGATTTGGCTTCTCTAGTCTCAAATCCAATCAACATTTGTCCCTTGTTCTGAAATTTTCGTGCTACTTATTGCATTGTGGAGTGCGGGAGTCAGATAAGTCTATGTAAACGAATACATTTATGAAAACTCATGGTGTGCATAGTGAGCCTGATCTGGAAGAACGTTATTCAATCAGTAGATAAATGATGTGCTAAGTCGCACAAAGATTACAGGTTAAAATGCTTTTCTGAAATCCGGAAATGTGGTTTTCCTTAGCGTGTCGGAGATTTGTGTTGCAGAAAAAATTAGGGAAGACTTGAAAAGCAAGGAAGGTCAGAAGTAAAGAAAGCATAAACTGAATTTCGTCAAGTTGCCTCAGCTTATGCATCCGGGGGCAGATGAACATCATCGCATTGTTTACAAACAGCAATGTTGATTGCCTGACTGAAGCATGACAAAGGGAAATATGTGTGCTTTCCGTTTGAAGCAGTTTGACACCTTCTGCGAAATCACCATAAACGAAGATGATGCATGAATAAACTGGAGTTACCACTCTGTGATTCTACCATGGAATATTCTCTCCCGAAAATGCCTCAATTAGAAAGTCAAGAAAATCAGAATAGAAAGTTAAGTGCCCATCGCCCCGTAAACCTGAATTTGCATACCTTAAAACATGTATACCGTTTTAAAATCCGAATTACTCACTGATGGAAATGATCCACCAGTGACAAATAATACCCACAATATTTTCATCCATCACTTCGGCAATATAACCTCGAACCTTGTTGGGCTTCTAATTATTTTCGGCAGCTGTATATAACGAAAAATCTATGGTTCATTATTGACTGTAAAAAGGGGGAAATTTCACCAATATTTTCAGTAGAATGAATGCAAAACGTGCGTTCGTGTGCTCCTGTACGGGTATCTGTACCCGCCCCGAAGCACCTTGCTTCTTCGCCGACTCTCTCACACACATATTGTTGAATATGTTCGCTGGTAGTCATTTGGATTTAACACACATCATGCCTAATATCCCTTCGCGGATTTCACCTCTCAAACAACTGTTGGCAGTGGCTCGTCAGCCATCTGTTTGGCCCTATCTGCGGCCAATCTTTTTGTCGAAAATGCGGAAAGTTGGAAGAAATACTTTTCAAGGGGACATGATGAGGTACAGGAAAAATAATTTTTTTCAATTTGAACATTGTATCACATTTAGTGATGTAAAAGAATAGAGCTTCATAGCCTCCGTAATAGAGGGATATTGTGCATGTCTCGTCCGTTTGTATGAACCAGACGGATTATTTTCATTCTTATATTACATGCTTGAGATTGAAATTTCACCACCGATCGATCTGTGGTTGTGTGTGTATGAATTGCATGGAGACAAGTACTAATATGGAATATTCCGGGAGGATAGGGAGGATTGAATCGACTTAAGGAAAACGACAATGAATCCGTTTCATCCCATCGTTTCCCTCCGTTCGTATTCATAGGGTTGTTTTGAATGCGCCTTGTTGTTTGTTTCAAATGTCTGGTCTGATCCGGGACTCTTCGAATCGGTTGAACCTTATACAGTAGTCCCTCCCGAGGGAGAGAGCAGATTTGCTTCATTTCCCTTTACCGTGTTATTCGCCATAGTGAATTCGACAAAAAGCGCCACAGCAAACACACATCTGGTTCCCGTCCCTTTCGTGATTGAACTCAAACGGACGAATGGTTCGTGCAAATGATCCGTTTTTCGTTTTTAACTATCATTTGCTAATGGATTCAAGCTTTCAATTTTGATGGGTTCTGTCCGTCAGTTGATTGTGGGAAGGAAATGGGCATTTTGTGTTTCAGTCGAACGCTTCTACAGGATTCTTTGTTTCACGGTATCACCTCCCTTCACAAAGGTACCGGTTTCAACTATTGATGAGCATTTGTTCTTTGCAAATCATTTGGGAAAGAGATTAGTGTCAAAGAGAACAGTCAAGTGAGTCCAATCTGTATTTTAATTAAGCCCAGCTAACAAATTCCCTATCAAATTGATGCCACGTCTTATGCACACAATATTTTTTGCCTAATTCCCGCAAAAAGATAACATTTAGAATGTTAAAATTCAAATTATGTTGGTTGACGGCTACTGGAAGATAGCAATATTATGTTAATATTGCGGAAAGATCAGAAAACACGAGTGAATTCGAACCCACGAGTGGATACCACCCAAGCTTTTGTACAGCGCAAACCTTAGAAGATGAACTACGAGGCCAAGTTGAGAACACCCATGTTCTCAGATTTGTCTCATCCACTCAGATGGTGTGGGATAGACTCCGATTAAGGATAGTGACCATTCACAATTCGGGGATAACAGTGCTGTCTTCTGTTATATGCCAAGCAACAAAAGCTCAACCTCAGGGGTTAATGCGATAGAGTCTGGAGAAATCTTTCCTTAGAAGAAAGCTTTGGCCATCATACCAGAGTGTTTCCAACCGAATCATGACCCTAGAAGTTATTGCAGAAAGATGCGATGTGTGCTAAATGCATTACGTTCATAAACATAAATGGTGTTATATCATGTTTGTGCAAAGAAGAACGATCTAACCAGCTTCCCGGTGATCACATAGGCTGGCTGCTGGCGTTCTACTTGCGATGTTCTGGGTTCGATTCCCATTTGGGTCGATGGATAGATTCGCATTGTTGATGAAACCAAACCATATCGAAACAGCTGTCTACTTCCTAGCTTTTCACCTCATGTCTCATTTAGTCTACAGAAGACGAAATTAACTATAAAATGGAATCAGTATTTGCATTGCTATCATTTACCATATATCATAAGTAGCGAACTCCATGTGCTTCTGTAATTTGAGTGGGGAATGTAGATATGGGAAGATAAAAGAAGCCTAAGCAGAGGCCACATATGATTTCAAATCCCACCGAGGTTACTGAACATTCGATAATCTCAACATAAGATAAACAGTGATACATTCTTTTCATGTTTGTCAATGGTGTTTATACAGCAATCCATTCGTGTGAAATAGAACCATACTAATTTCGTCGCATGTGGTCCCGTTAATCTTTCCTCCCATATGTTAAGCAATCCTGTTGATTAATTCGTGATAAGCTGAATGTGCTGTGAACAAGAAGTCCAGGCCACACTAGTGATCAACAGAAGGAAGGAAGTGTATGACATTTGATGCGTTATGTGATTTGCAAGCATTTGATAAGTCACCTCAGCGGTGTAGGCAAAATTATGACCCAAATCAATCGCTGAACAGCAGACAGAGTGAACACCACTCCCACGAGGACCTACTGTTCAGTGCTGGATACCGGTAACCTAAGCACCGGGAATTGGAGTTTCGAACCACATAAAGCCTCGATAAGTTTGGCGGTGTATTGATCCGGACGACGGAAAAGATACCTACCCCTGAAGATGACTAGTAGTGGTGGGGTTCGGATCTCGGATCATAGGGTCCAAAGCACACCGGTGGCAACAACTGAACGAACGTTGTTCAGCTTAGGAAGGAGGTGGAATGTTGCAACACAATGCGAAACCATTGCTTAGCCCGTCAGTTTGGATGTTCAAGAATGAGAAATCGGTTGATACCATGTGGCACCAGAATTCAAATATATGAATTTACAGGTTTAAGTGACAAAACCGTCAGATTTTTATTGAATACGTGGTGATTGAGAGAGTAAGCACTACCATTATGAATAATTACCCTTTTATTAATACTAACCGGCTAACGAAACCTTGAGTTGTGAACCAAATAAAGCCTTACCAGGAAAGAGGTAATGTCGAATCGGATGACAATGATGCTGTCTTCCATTTGCAACTAATCCCACAGAGCTCTGGTTGATGTCTCAGAGAGAAACTACCGTTGTCATCAGCTTAGACGCCTATACATGAATTTCATATGCCTCAAACGGTTGGGTTAATAACTTGGTGGTGACTTCAAAACGTACGTAGTACAGTACATAGAAGTTGGTAGCATCTATGCATGAGTTTGAATCCCACCAAGGTTAGTGATCTTTCCTCAATTTGGTTGCAGACAAAACGCCAAAAACACTAAATAAATTGTGTTATTTGTTTGGATAAAAGAATTGATGGACATATGTTATCTGTTCATTGGTTCGTAATTCGAGTATCCTAATCTCGTATTGCAACCCCAGTTTATTGATTTTTACAGTAGCCGGTTGACGACAAGCCCCATCTGGATCGTCAATAGCATAGTTGTTACATCTTAAGTAAGTTAAAATTGAAACGATGTTCTGAAAATTGAATCCAGGATTCAATTGTCGTAGTGAAAATGGATAACAATCCAGGGATAAAGTTTGACCTATCGGGAAGCATGTAATTTTCATTCGTCAGGTTATTTATTTTCCTTCGCGTTTTCCATCACTGTAAATGGAATCAGAGAGAAGCTCAGAAATAAATTACCACAACATATTGGACGACTGTATAACACAAACACGAGATATTTATCTGTCTGTGCTTTCATTGCATTGGAAACGCAAACGCATATAAGTTGGAAAGGAAAGAAAATATATAGAACGGAAATGGTCACTCCAGGGAGTGGGGGTGGGCGGGCCACTTACCAAGGCTGCCGGTCCGTTTGGAATAACCTGTTTGACGAAAATACCTTCCTCGTTTGTCGGACTGCCCTCCATAATGGCAAAACCGAAACCAGAGGAACCCTGGCGCAAATATGTAGAGAAATGGTTGTTTCGTCATTTTGCTGATTCAGAAAGGGTTCGTTCCCGAAATCTTATATCAACAACATATCATAAAAATATGTATATAGTTCCAAAGTGTATGTACTAGGTAACAAAAACAATTAGCGGTAGATAGCGCTAAAAATATTTGTCTCAGTTTCACTAAATTGTGATGAGTATTATACCGGTGGAGATATACGGGCCACACTACATCGGAGCACTTCATTTTCGCAATAGAAAATGAAAAATTTCAACGACGACTGAGTAGAGAGAACCTAGAACTGTGTGCATGACATCGCTTAACTGTTTCCAAATAGGTTTAATAAAAACTGGCTACAAAAAAGCACAGCTCTGAAACGCCTGTTGAATAAATGATCAATTATACAGAATGGATACATTGACCAGCTTTTTCAAGCACCCAACTTTGTTGTGACAGAGTAATCAGTCCATACCTGTTAGTTGCCAAAATGAAAATCCACTATATTTACTGATGGAAATGCTCCGCAGAACACTATAAGACAGATGGTTACTGCACAGCGCAACACGGCCCAGTTACAACAGAATTCCATGAGCGGTGTTTTTCCAGACATGAAGGGTTATGTGGTGTGAAAATAATTTCCAGAAATTTGAATATCCCCATGATAGGGTTAAGAAAATAAGTTGGTGATCGAACAATTGTTTTCAGATAACACACTGAACATTCTTACACACTCGCGCACATATTCTCTACATTCCGTTTCTGATCAATGACCTTGAATTGAATTAACGGCTATTATTATGTAAGCATTTTTTCGCATTATATTATATGGAAGAGCATGACTAGGAATATCCGAGACCAGTTGTTCACTGACTGAATCGTTTTCTTAAAATGGTTTATGGTTATCATAAAGAAAACAGTATAAGTAACTTGCGCACGAGGTCCTCGTCTCCAATAAAAACAACCTTCGGTTTAGAAAACATGACATTGCAAGGATAGGTTTTCGAATAATCCGTATTCGCATTTGCGTTTGTTCAGAATAGCACCAATACCTTTGATCACAAGTGGGCTAATCAAAATTAAATATTGAACGTAAATATGACTTGGCTGTTGGGTCTGGGAGATAATTTTCACTTTCATGAGAGATTATGCGAAGAGGTCGCAGGGATGAGATCGCCCCTTTACTGTGCCTCACCGACTCTTGCCACATCAAATATATGATAACACTACAGCTTCAGACGTCATTTCTAGCGCTGGCTAAATGAAAGTAATCCAAAACGGTTCTATCAATCGTTAACTTTAATGCGAAATAATTGGAGACATTGCTACATCTCAAAGGGAACCTCAGGTCGAAAGTGACCTATATGATCTAGGGCTAGCTTGCTAACATATCTATTCTAATTTTGGACTATAAAGCACACAAGACAATCAGCAGATATTTTGACTTAATGTGTGATCTGATCAGTCAATGCACGGCAAAATTTGTAAAGTCTCTAAGAAGTTTAATCATGATTAGGGTTTTACATGGTATAAAATAAGAATTGACGCTCTACCTCGAGATTCAAGCTGTGCGGCATGCGAGTGTTTCTGTCAAATCAGAACGGTGACAGCAACGTACATGGTAACAACAAGAATGATGATAACAATGATGCCTCGAAGTAGGACGATGACTCTGATGACGGTGTTAAAGCCACCAGAACGCTTGCTCAAATCATTCTTTATGTGATATACAAACAAGGTAAACGTAGACACCTCGACTGCGAGCTATCTCATGTGCAGTCTATTCTCTCATACACACAACAATGTAACCTGGACTTACTCTCGTCAGCGTTATGAAAACAGTATGTTCCAATAATGGACCTCGTTTCTCACCAAACGCCAGTTCCATAAATTCCAAGGACCTTTTGGCTTTTGAATTGTCATAGCCCGATTTCTGTGGTGTAGACAAAATACTCAGTACCGTTTCTGTACTACTTCTCCGACTGGATTTGGCTGAGTGGGTTACCTATGCGTGTTTAGAGATGAATTCGAGAAGCGTTGTATGCAAGAGTCGAAGTTTCAGTGTTTGTATAAAACCGAACGAATAAATGTGGCAATGGTAAGGAAATTTCTTTTACAGAAAGTCCAATTATCATTTACTGGCTAAATGAACCAGTGGGGGTCGAACCCAGGATGTCACAGAGAAAACGCAAACATACTATCTGATTTAAAAACGAAAAGATGATCAAACCGTTCTACATTTGGCCTATAAATTATATAGCACAACAATGGTTTGTTATCCTACGGTGAGCAGAAAAAAATTGGCATCTCAGCTCCTGCCCCTAGAGCTGAAAAATATCTAAACAGATCTCGATTCGTTTCCTCTGTGCGTGACAAAATGCACCATATAATCATATCGAATCATCTAACACTCATATTTCCCCGGTGGTGGCCCTATGGTTTTGTCAACCAAATTATCACCCCGGGGGACGTGTGTTCGAATCCCATCACCACTGCATAAGTTCCCCTGCTGTGTGATATAGCAGCGCTTTGACTGGCCGCCTACCCTTTTTGAAAATCGAATCGTAGTATATTCAATAAAAGGAAATAAAAAATGAAAACGAATAAGGTTGATATCCATAATTGGTTGAATTATAAATTGTTTAGGCAGGACAAATTGCGAACGAGATTAATCTGACCTCATTTGCTTTTCACCTACTTAGTTGGCACATAGAACTTCGCAGGCATTAAACATCAGTCGGGAGGGCCTAGAAGCTATCTCCAGAACTGATTAGGATTAGCATATAGAGAATAGCTGAGGCCACTATTGGTCCACATCGCCTGACCACCTGACCGGTGTGCAAAAGAGAAGTTGATTCCGGTTTCAATTTATCCAGTTGAAACTGGCATGTGCGAACCTAATCATAATCTCAGTTAATCAACCAAAGACATGCATCGGAGTTTTGCCTTCCCGTCCACCATCGAACCCGAACCACATTTGATTCTTTGATAAACCCTGTTCATTTTTTCCACCACAAATTGACCCCAAAGTATTTACCTCCACAGCATTCTTCAATCTCCATAAAAGACAACGGAGATTATAATGCATTTTAAATGAATTCGCCACAAACATTTTCATCTACACTATTTGCGTGATCACAACGGTTGACTTACTTTGTGACATTAGGTGATTCTCATCAATGAGAAACAGCTTTAAAGTGCATTTCAGAGTTACTCTGAATTTTCATATTTCATGCAACACACAACGGGAAAATTGCTATCCTGACAAGATAACCCCAAAAGTCGATATCCTCAGCAAAACAGGCAGTGAGAACCTCTGATCCAACAAAATTCGATCTCTTACTCCAGTTTTGGAATGTCTCAACCAATCCTCGGTGTAAGCAGACGATCAAATATGATTGGATTTTCTTCGAGAGCTAATGGTTTGTGTTTGGTAAGACGTACGAATTAACAAACGATAAAATCCCAATTCCAGTTTACCCTAGCGTTTACACTAGGAAACGTTTGAGGCTGTATATGACGGCTTCTCCGATATTTTTAGGTGGAATGAAATCTTAAACAAGGATGGCAACAATATGGAAGAATGAATTAGTTACAATACAGAATACTAAATTTGTGTAAGCGTGTTGTCCTGGTCTTCACACTCAACATTTCGTCCCTCTCTCTTTAGAGGTGTCACACAACTGGCATAGTTCGACGTTGGTTACTTTTGGTTTCAGACCACATTTTCACCGGAGTACATGATAAACTGCAAATGTCATCTGGTTCTTGGCTTGAAGCCACGCAATGTTTCGATCCGTGGTCTGAGCATTTATCACCCAAAATACAGACCCTCAATGTGAATGTTTTGGCACAACAACTGGGTAGTGTAGACAGATCACTTCCACATCATTAACTTGTGCTTAAAAATTAACTGTATGACAAGAACTTCAACTGATCAAATATGAGTAGAATGCGAAACTCGTCGTTATCCACTGGACATTTTGAGAATGTTTTTGATCATCGGTGGTTAACTCAACTCCACTATATAGTCCGCACTATCTGGGTGTAGATCCTTATTCCTACAGCAAGATGTAAACAATATTTAATCAAACTGATGCTGCTATTATTGCTGATACAATAAAAATGTTTCAAGTGCCGCTTTAAGGCGATTACGTCACTACTGAGGTAGCTTAAAACCAGCTCAGCTGACCCTAGTATCCGCCAAACGTGTAGAGCCAAGCAATAGATATTCCATAGGCTGTTTAAAATAAAAATGCATGTGTATTTCAATGGTCTTGATGTTCTTGGAGTGGGTCCGAATTGTCATACCTTTCATTCTCGTTTTGATCGGTCAGACGTAATGCTTATTGAATTATTCCTGGAAAGTTACCCGGCACATTAATTGTATTGTGACGTAATTTCTAGAATTACACATATTATGCTGCATTTTATGGAGTATCTGTGCTTGCGTACATCATTTTGAACTGTCGAAGACTCTCTCTCTCCATCATTAACAATTAAAAGATGTGGTAAATGCCAGATTACCTTCAGTATGTCTTTATTGACAAAAGGTCTAACATTTAGTTCTTTCTACTAGTGACGTTCCAACTATAATGACAGACTTTCATTAACTCGTTCGTGAGTTTGCTATTCGGAACATTTGAGTCTGTACCCTCATGTACATATGTTTAAATGATTTGTCGTTGCACTGTGTCAGGAAAATCGGACTCATTGGTAAAAACAAAAAATAGAGAATAAGAACATCTGAATATTTCGTAAAAGAAGTGCCTTGCACCTTTTATTTCTACTCGGTGTGCACTGAAATGTTAAGGGTTCTTTCCTGCTGGCCCACGATGTATTGATATCAATTAATGAGACAGTTCAAATCCAAACACTAACTGGAACATGCTCGGTGGTGAACATGCTAATTATTTTGCACGAAACTGATTTTTTTCTAAAATACGTATTTATCCGGCTCATCCGCAGCGGTAGAATCCATGATTTGAAATGTTCATTTTCTTGAAAAAAGGACATCACTCGATTAGTGATGAGCTTTCTTCTTATCATTCTGTTCTTCGTACACCGTACCCCGAAAGTGTTGCTTCTTTGCTCTGTGATGTTTAGTGTGTAAGTTGATTTTCGCATTTCCCACCGTCCATTTTCGAACAATAAACAGTAAAATTTGGTAGTATAGAGTCACATTGTACGCAAAAGTTTAATCGTTCACTCTGCTTAAGATTGTAGTGTATGAGTAGAGTCAAAGCAGTCTTTTAGAATCTGTATTTGTACAACTTTTGTAAGCTGAGAAATGCTCAAAAATACTTAAAAATTGTACACTAGTCGTCACAGCGGAGAAACTACAGAAATATAGACAAGTCCAATAGAGTGCTGTACAAAAAGATGTCTCCGAAGTTTGTTTCATTCAATCAAAGATTCACGTAATGCACTTATTACTCGTTCCTTGTTGGTCAAGATTTGAGCCAAATACCGTACAGTGGAGCTGTTATAAATGCTTATTCCAGAGGATAGATACCGACAACAGGAACGAGTGATCGAGTGGGAGCGACAAAAAGATAAGTCAAGATGTAAGGGATGCGAGGGTTCGTTTAGAATCTTATTAGCAAAGGTTACGCAAGAGTTCCAATGACCATTAGTAAGTTCTGTGATTATTCACTCGGCAGAAATTAAAGGTGCATGGCTTATCATCACCAATCCACGACGGACAGTTTTAAAGTCTTGTTTCAAAAGACCGGGAAACACTACAGGGGAGCAGTGAAGTAAAATAGGGAGAGCGCATTGTTCAACAAAGGAGAATAAAACTTGTTTGGGAGTGCGGGATTGTCTGAGCTTCAGATGGTGAAATAAGAGGCGCCAAAGTTTTCCCATGTAGTTCTGAATGCGTGTCGACCACAGAAGATTGTTATCGACAGTAACACCCAGATATTTAACGGAGGTCACTCTAGACAAAAGGTTACAATTAAGGGTTACAGAGTCTGACAGGAATATAGAGTGAGAAGAACTAAAACGCACTCCAAGCACTTAGATGAGTTAAGATTAGGGCCAGACTGGTTTGAAAACTGTTCGATTCGGGACAGATTTTCAACGATGGGGGAAATTCCGAAGAAGAAAGAAAGGCCCGATAAAAAACGACATCGTGGGAAAACAACACGACCATTATTCATCTCAGTTTATCGAGCTATTGTCATTCGCGGACATCAGCCCAGCCTAGTCAAACAGTCACCATCACCGTCACCGTCTTTATTGTACAGCGAGATACAGTGAAGCCAACTCTGCTGATGACTGCCAATCACGGTCATACTTTGTAATCTATTCAGTGCAACTGACACCCCAGCTACATGGCCATTTCCTGTGGTTGCCTGTTTATCCACTTAACCTTTGAACCTCCTTTGTTATCATTGAACTAACTGATATGGCAAGAAGTTCGAAATCATGTATCGTTATTTTATTTTTGATCAAACATGATTACCAAAGTACCTGTGCAACAGAATGAATCTACCGGGAGTAGATGAACATTTTTGTCCTACAATAAAGATTCTTTTGATTACGGTGCTAAACTTTAGTTGTCTGGATTCACTCTTCTAGTTCCATGCGATAGTATCACACAGAACATTGTGTCTCCCTGAGCCACGAAATGGTAAGAAACGCCTTTCGTACCCCCGGCACAAAGAAGTACAATAGCTATGACAGAACTTTTGACACCGAAGTGGCCGAAGTGTTATCCCGATCACCTTAAGCCTGCCGGATGGGCCTTAATCAAATTCCAAGAGGCAAACAATCAAAACGAACAAGTAAGCCTATACTGTGCGCTGACATCTCATATTTTCATGCGGCTCATTCGTTTTCCAGTATATTATGCTGTCCTAGGCATAAAATCTCCTTTCATCACTTTTTTATTGAGTAGGTTATCCACACTGACAACAAGTCTAGTACCCTCAGGCTAACCCCACCCCACCTCCCCAAAAAAGAAAATCAGTTGCTCTCGAAAAGCAAATAGAACTAACC